TTTGAACCAGATGATCTTTGAAGTCCCTTCCAACCCAAGCCATTCTAAGATTCTCTGAAAGAACCCACCCCAAATCAAAGGCAGCAAGGCCCCTTCTCCTGAGCGGTATAAATATGTTTGACTTCTGACAATCCACACTGTGAGCACTGAGTTACCTTAGTGTAATTTGGCTAATCAAGCCATTTCTTTTTCACAACAATAATTCTACTCTTCCTCTCGTACTTCAAAAAATTCTGATAAATATCTGTGTATTTATTTCTGACAACCAAAGGACATTCATTCTGGAAGAACTTAAAAAAGATGGTTCAAATAGATTGTTCATTCTTCACAGCATTGAACACAGGAAGATTGGAGGGACAGAGTATGTGCCAGTGTGTGTGATGGTTTAAAATCTGATATGCAAAAAAGAGATAATACGAAGTTCTAAGTTGAAGGCCTGAAATATTCACACAAAACTTTTTAAAAGCCTTCGAGTTTTGGTCAAACCAAGCTTTCTTTATATAGATTTTCTTTCATACTTCCACAACTCTTGTTTCACACAAATGAAAAATCTGCTCTCATCTATTGTTTTATTGTAATACCACTTCTACTGCATCTCAGCTTTTACTTTTTCCCTTCTTATTCCCTTTTAGGCTTGGAAAAATCTTTCCATTATGATATGAAAAAGCTCTTTCCTTTCCTTTCCTTCTCCTCCTTGGCCCTCCCATCATCTAGCTTTGTTGCAGTGACCAAAGCACCAGGACCTGGCAATGGTAGGGAGCTACAGACCTTCCTTTTTCAGTTCCCAGTCCTTCATCACTCACAGCACCTGCAGACACCAGTGCTACAATTGACCCTGTGAGGTCTCATGCCAGATAGTGACTTTAATTAGTGTTATCCTACTTTCAATTATTATTGAAAATAACAAAAATAAGGAAGCCTTCCTCTTATCTACTGCTTTCACATTGACAATCACAGTCCAGAGTAACTTTGCCTGCATAAACTGAAACAATGGTGCCTTCTAATTGATTAGTGACTTATTTCATTTGACCAAATATTGGTATGATAACAATTAAGCACTCAGCATTTAATAAGATGTACATTTATCAGATTATGTATCAAAACTTCACTTTGCCTACTAAAGCTACCCTATCTGCTTGTAAAAAGTATTTTGTTGATTTATTTGACTATAGAGTCCTTGAATTTCTTGTTCATTGAACATTTAAAAGCAATGGTTTATTCTAATTTTAATATTGACTACAATTTTAATGCATTTATTCTGCGAACATCATGCCTAAATTGTCACAAACTTTTATGTATACTTAATACAAGGGAACCTACTGGGAGCTGACTGATGCATGTGTGATTGCACTGGGTTATGATTTTGTTCTGTAGGAAGACCTCTGGACTTCAGCAATCTTTCATTTTATCTTTTGTAGAGAAATTAAAGTCTGCAAACCAGAACAAGTTTTCTGCTTGCAGATAGCTAGATGGAATTGGAATACAGGAATAATCTTTTTGATTTGAAAAACTGGTCTGCGTTTTTACCATGACACCTGACATTTACTTCAAATGCACAGTAGTCTGTCTCCTGGGTTTGAGAAATCTCATTGATTTTTAGAGAGATAATGTAGGACAGCTAATATACTCTTTAGCTCTATAAGGGATATGATTATTGTTGTCTGCTTGATCATTTATCCTTTGTCTCACACAATCACTTATCTCTCTTCCTTGTTCCTTGTTCCACATGCTACTAATCAAATTAAATCCTGAAAACTGCATCTCGGTACCACCTGCTACACCTAGCACATACAACTCCATACTAGAAAGGTTTGCATCGCATCTTGCTTTGAAAAACTATCGATTCCACATTGAAATCACTGTTCTAAAAAATATTACAGCATTCAATAGCTCTATTTACCATGAATGGTCCAGCTTTACAGTTTGTAAACAAAGCTGGATGATATGAAACTGGTGAGAGACAACAGAATTGCACTACCAGGAGAAAGGAACAATTCAAATGCTCAGAGAATACCTAAAAATAGCAGTGCCTCTAAGCCATGTTTGGAAATATCAATACACAGGCCGCTAGTAGCAAGCATCTAAAATTACTTTAGAGAAGACACTTCTGAAACAAAAAACATTCTGTAATATCTGTCCTATTCAAATTAAAAATTCTTATCCTTAGTCATGGTTCAAATGCTGTTTATTTATATATAAATATTTAAAAATATATTTCAGATGCTCAGACACATTGCTAAGTCAAAAAGACTCAATCAAAGAAGTTGAAATCCCAGTTTCTTAGAGTTGGCTGGTAGCATACAAAATTCAGATTAGATTAGTGGAGATGCCAAAAGCAGAGAGAATAGCTGTCAATCGCCACTAACATTAAAGCTTTGTGTTCTAGTATGGCAAGATTTCAAAAAAAAACAAGGGCTGTTTTCAACTAATATTTTTCCTATTTTGGATAGTCACAGCCTAAGATTGTTCATTAAAATCTCATCAAAAAACTCAAAATAACAATATTTTCAAATTCAATCATTCAAATCAAGAGTTTTCTTGGTTTTTAAACCATGAAAATAAAACATTGGGTAAGTTGCTAATGATCACCTCCAACACCTCTGAAGTTCATGCCTTTATATACAGAATAAATCTGTACACCTCATGTACAGTTATCACACTGTGAAGAATATATGGCTTGAATATAATGGAAAAAATCTTTAAAGATGTCTTTATTTTTCCTGCCTAGCCATTCATTTTGTTGCTGGACATGAAGTCCACAAAAGCCATCTCTAATAAAAAAAGAAATTGTTTTATGTGTTCATCCATCTTCTTGTTGAAAAAAAGCTATTCAAGTTCTTTAAAAACCTATTCTGACCACCTCTATTATCAGATATTCATCAGGGTGGAAAGGACTAAATGCCAGCAAATGCAATTCCCTCTGTATTTCTTTGACCCTCCCAGATTTAATTTTTCATTCATAGGACCCAATAATTATATTTCTTCAGTGACTCCACAGTCAGTCAGACAGAGCCAGCATGCAGGGTATAAATGTCAGCATGTGCCAGGGATGCCTTGCAGGTAAAGCAGCTGTTTAAAAAGTGCATCTCAAAACCAATACAGTGATTCCCCTAAATACAGGATTCTACTGACAGGAACATGGTTCCTAAAAGAGAAAAATACCTTTGTTTTGACCTCAAATTCTATTAGCTGTAAACATAGCAGCATGGACTCTACAAAAACATTAGAATAAATTGAGCTTTAACATAATGAAATATTTAGGGCTCAGCTGATTACTCATTTCTGCTCAGCAGTGGAATAGGCTAATAGTCCCACTTTCCTATGTGAAATGAAATACAATGCAGGTTAAGTTGATTAGGAATAATTACAAGCTGATGTTCTTCTACCTCCTGAACAACATGAGACCTGTGGTATCAATTACAGATTTTCTGTACTGCAATGATTCACACACAATATATGCAAGTTGTCTGTGTGGCCAGTTCAGATTCCGAAATTTATCTAAAAATTCATTTAGAAAGATTAATTTCCAGATTTAAGTAGTAGTTTAAAGCTACAGTATGATTCCTGAATTGGTCCAGTAGACCAAGCCAGAGACATCAAAATAGAATTTCCTTCCTTAAATCTCAATTGAGCAAATTATTTTTTTCTCCCCCTCCCCCTCCTTTTTACCACCCAAATTGTTCTTGAAGCTCAGTTTTATTTTAAACACCACCTTAATCATGAGATGATTTGAAGAAGAGTCAGGGGAATTTATTATCTCTCTTTGGATTAGAGAGATAAAGAAATCTAAAAGGAGGATGTTTAAGCACTGAGACTGCTTGTCCAGACTTGAGCAATCTCCAGGTTTTTGATAGTCACAGCTTCACTGTACAAGACCCTGAGCAAACTGATCTGCCTTAAAATTGGTCCTGTTTTGAGCATGATGGCTGAATGACAATGAAGGCTTTATTTACAGAACTATCTTCCAGATGATAGCCCTTGAGCCACATGCACTTTTTCTGCATAATTCCATTACTCAAACTATTTTTCAATGCATAGCTGTTTTACATATTTGAAATAATCATATTTTAAAATTATAGCTCTAGATAAGAAATTAAAAATTGGGACTTGTGAGAAAACCATTTCAGACTTCACTTAGGACAGGATTAGTTTACACAGTGACCAATTTATTTTCTGACTGCACCACAGTACAGTTGTAACGGAAACTAAAAAGACAACGAGATGACATCTGTGGAAGCTTTATAGTCTCACTTTTATCACAAGAAAGAAAAACTTTGAAATATGAACTGTAGGCAGCCAATGATAAGTTACTACCCATGCCTACAGAGTTCCACATTTCTATGGGAGGGGATAAAAACAAATTGACAATTTTTAGACTATGCCAGTCAGTGCAAACAAAATCTGTTTCCCTGTGTTAAATATCAGCATTTCTAATACTGTAAAGATGCAAGAATATTATCATTATAGTTGTGCATTATTCACATTTTACACCATTGTCTTAGTTAAAATTGAGGTTAGTTAAAGTTGAGCTGTCCACTCAGAGCTGTGTTCTACAGTTAACACTCATATACACAGATATTCACCAGCACAGGATTAATATTTTCTATCAGTACTTCTTCATCCTTAGTTTTGGACACTGGCTTGTCAAAAGGAACTCATGCATACATTAAGAAAACAGAGTAAGACTTCATTGGGCTTTTCCATGATAAGTGGGAAGATTTTACAGCTAACACAAGTAAATATTAACACTAATGAAGTGAGATGAATTGAACAAATAGTATCAAATATATCTCCATGACAGATACTCTCATCTCCGTGAAAATCAAACCTTTCAGTAAGTACCAAAAAAGTACCAGCACTAATTTGAAACTTCATTGCTTCATCTCACAGCCTTAAACACCGTGGTGTGCAAACCCACATCTAATGAACAGATCTGTGTGCGTGGGCAGTTCAGTGGTACCTGACACCTCTAGAGCAGCTTCAAGAGAGAATCATCTTACCCTTCCACAGAAATGGTCCGCTGCAAGCTCACTGTGGGTGGACGCGTTGCAGTGCTGTGCTGGGAATGACTGTACGGCCAAGGAAGAATAAAGAAAAGCATTTGTTAAAGACATAGAAATTCCTCTTGCCCTTATTGTCTCTAGAAGTTTAGTTAATGCCAAAGTAGATACAACAATCAGATGGTTTTACATGTGTCTAAAGCATTTTGACTTCAGTGGTGCTCATCTGTTCAAAAAGGGCTTAATTGTATAATCTCTCTTGTTTAAATTCAGCTTTCGTTTCTCATTAAGAGCAGAAAATGAAGATAATAACTCCCCCTTATCTTTCCTACTCATTTTTAATATATATATATCCCCACACAGAGTTTAGTAACTTAAAATAACTTAAATGCTAATTATTCCACTAAATATACTAAACATACAATGAAAATTTAATTTCAGAACAAAAGGTAGAACAGCAAATGATAATGTAATCAATCTAATTTTCAGTGTTTCTCAGTAAAAGAGGGCATGCATTCCTTAGAATTCCATCTTGATGTAGTTTCAACACTAGTTCTATCAGATTTTAAGCAGCTTGAGTCTTTCCACATGGATTTTTTATTAATCTAGGACACAACATTTAGGGAAAAACATGTTATTATTTCTATAGCAAAGCACAGACTCTCTGAAAAAAAAAAACTTTTTGATTGATTTTGATTTTTAGGCTTCTCATATGTTATACTGACATGACTAAGAAACCTGAGTAATAATAATAATTATGTTAAAAATACACAGTATGCACTAATTTCAGTATTATACTATGGTTGAATAGTATTATAAGTACAAATGGATAAAAAAGAGCATCAGTCAAAGGCAGTTTTGTGACAATAAATTGCACTCCTTATCCAAGACATCCAGTTTAAATAAGACTTTAAAAAGCAGAAGCATCTGGGTGTATTTTCTGATTAGTTTAAATGACTACAGCACATAGTGAGGCCCAGTATTAATAATGCAAAGTGCACAATAAAAATAAATCTTTATGTCACTTTTATATCACTGATTCTAATAACTGAAGACTTTGTCTTACTTTCAAGTTTTGCATATATGTCAAGCTGCTTGTTCAGCAGCAATATATCTTATTTAAAGAAAAGCACTTCATTTGACATTAGTGAGCCACACATCTATTTTACATGAATTTCATCCTGTAGCACAGTCAATACTGTCTGACAGAAGAGATACCTTTTTGTTTTTGTGTAGCCCATGGAGTTGTGATGCCTGTCACTCAACAAACAGAAGTCCTGCTGCTTCCTGGTATCTTCTCTTGTGACCAGTGTGCTTTTGTTTTATGTTAGTATTTATCCCTACTGAGAAGGTTTCAGGTTTGTGGAAAAGTATATTCCCCTTCTAAGAAGAGCTGCAGAGCTTTTTATCTGTTTTATAGCAAACTTAGGAGTACCAGAAGTTTCTGGGATCATGATGTGAACAGAATAGCTGAGTGGGACAAACACTGAAGAATATTATATGAATATTGGTTAAAATTTCACATTAAGTTTGCATGTACAAAGAACTTTACACCCCACTCCTGCCAAGTGAGGGGCTCATCTATCTGCAATATTCCACCCATCAGAAAACCTTTTTCAATCATAGGGATTTATGACACAGTATTCAAATGAGCCCTCACCTTCTTTCATGAAAAGAGTTCAGAACTGATGATATGAAAACTCATTTTCTTTACATAATTATAAAAATCAAGTTTGATGCTTGATATGAGCTTCTAAGGTATCATCATGAACACAAATGACATCTTAAAGCCTAAAATGAAATTTAATCATTGCTTGACACAAGTTGCTATTGGAGACAGAATAATAGTCTGATATGATTCCTAACTGACTTATTGAAAAGATAATCTCCTGTTGAATTCTATCAAACTGATGGAACCAGCAAAAAGAAGCCAATTTCATCACATGCTCAATACACTTGTGCATTTGCCATGTCTTTTGCAGCACAGAAGAAATAAAGCTTTCTGCTACCAACACTTCGTGATGAATGCCCAAACATATCCCTATTGAGATATATAAGCAGCATAGTTTTAAACAGACAGATCAAAGTATTCAGAGTTTGACATTTAAGCTTATAAAAATGCTACCATTCCTCTAAAATGATACAGAATGGACCTCCTACTAATTTTAGTAATATAACGTGACATTAGTAATATTTCAATATACCACCCAGTACTACAGCCACACAAGACGGATTTTCCCTGGATAAAAGAATTTTACATCCTGTAAAAGACCATTTTTAACTTAAATCCATTTTATTTTAGTTCATTGAGACAAGAGGGATATACTGTTCTTGTAAGACAATTCATAAGAGTGAAGGAACAAAGAATGAGATTGTAAATTAATAATAAGGTGCAAAACTGGAAGCAAAGAATCCAACCTCTCATTTTAATGGGCTTAAATTGCCTTTTGTTTTAAACTTGTTTCTCAGGCAAGGTGAACCATTTCATGGCTTCATAAAATAATATAATAGAGCAACCTAGTGTTCATGTAATTTTTTAAATGTTTATAATGAAATAATCATATCAGTAAATATTATAGAAACAAAATTTATATAGACAGCTTCAATTCTGTGCTAGGCTAAGAAAACTCTGAAGGCACTTTTGCTGTGTGGGTGATGCTGAAACTGGAGGCAGCATCATAAACCCCTCTTTCCCCACAGGGATCAGGTGATCTACCACCTTCCCTTCCCAAATGACGCTTTCATCCTTCCAGAACATGCCAGTGGAACCTCTATCTGGGATGTAACACTCATGTTAGGGAAATACTTATTGTGTTTTAAACTTCTATAATGCAAAATTATGGACAAACCACCATTAAGGGATCAGACTGGATGATGCTCAAATCAGTTCATTCCAGAGCCTGTCTATTGCATTGACAGTAGAAGAAACAAGGTTTTTACAGTCCAAATCTTTTCCTCTTCTCTTTTGTTTAGATAAAACCAAGAGACGCTGTCTTTGCAAAGAGAGTACTAGAAAAGTCATTAGCTTTCCTCTCTCAACCCTGAACCTCTATCAACAAAGAACAGTTGTCCTCTATTTGCTATAGCCCTGATTTAGGAACCCTTTTGTTTTCATATATCTTTATTTTGACAAGTCAAAACTGACAGTATTAAAGTTGTTTTCTTTCTAAGTCAATTGACCTGCAACTTTTCATAAAGATGCAGTGAAGCAGCTGTGGCACAGGCTGGGTAGAGACCTCTCTGAACACTGACTTTGGAGCAGCCATTCTTCAGCTCTCAATTCTGAAAATGCCACACAGAAGAAAAATATACAAACTCCATTTGTCTATCAATATGTTCTCTGCAGGAAAAAAAAAATCCAAAACAAACAACATCAAAAGCAAACCCAAAACTAGAGCTCTGAGTTATTCTTTGTCATTCACAATACTAAAACAAAAAAGAGTGATAAATGCAATATTAAAAAATTCCACAGGAGACCAGTGAAGGGAATGCTAATACTGTTTGTTTTTATGATATATTCTCAGCATGTTGTTTCTTATGTCAAGGATTGAAGGTAGCACTGCAGCTGTTTATAAAGCTTTTAAGCTTTTGATTTGATGGATGTAAGAGTTTAGGAAGGCAACATGCTTTAATTCCATTAATGTGGAGTTTTAATTCAGCTCAGTGAAGTGAAACCAGCTTTTCCTGATGCTGCCAACAGCTAAACTCCTAACTTAAATGAGTTTTTGCACTCCTGTGAGATTAATTAGAAGACCAGAGATTGCTTTTTTTTTTTTTTTTGCATTAATTTAATCTCAGCTACAAATGGTTTGATAATATCCAGTACTGACAGTTACTGACCCATGTTAGAAGTGTCAAACTAACCAGACAGTCTCCCATCAGAGGCAAACAGGAAACTTCAGGGAATAGGACATTCAACCCTGCTACGTTCAGATCACCCTCAGGTAACAAAGCCAGACATGAGATGTAATGCTGTTTTCATGCACAGGCACATGCAGTGAGGACTTTAGCAACATAACTCAAATTTTAAAATGGCATCTGTACATCTGTTGTACAAATAGCATTGCTAGGCTAAATAGCTACTCATTAGAAAACAGGTAAGTAATAAAATGAAGGATTAGGCTGTCACTCAGCCTACAAATATGTAGAATAAGGACCACACTACATCTCTATTCAGGTTCTCTGAGGCAATTTCACTTGCACAACTAAAGTAAAAAAGGTTGCTAACTTATTCCTCCCTCCCTGCCTTCCCTAAACAGTTTTCACAAATAAGTTGTTAGCCACATTCTGTAACGTGAAGTATTGGAGTTACTGCAGTCCTAAACTACTGTCATTTAGCAATAAGGAAGAATGCAAGGTGGAGCTGTGACTCAGAGGAATGCTTCAGCTCCCGGAATAGAGCTAATTATCCACCTTTGTTAGCAGTGTGCCCAAGTCAGGTACCTGATCTTCAAAGTGGTGAAACATCCACTGACTTCAAATATACTTCCTTATGACTGAGGTAATTGCAGGAGATAATGATTACCTTTAAAATATAAAAAAATCTTACCTTTTTGAGAGGATTTGTTCTTTCAGTTTGAGATACAAGAGTATTTGAAACAGCAGAAGTGGTTTAGAATGATGTGGGGGGAACTGAAAGTAATTAGGAATGCTGTTTAAAGGAGTAGAGTGGAGAGGACATTTTTAAAACAGTTCTACATGTGAAATTCCCATGTAGAGTAAATACAGACTTGAAGTATTGTGAAGAACTCAGCATTGAGTAAATTAGGGATAGTGAGTGAAAACCATTTAAAAAACCTTAATCCAATCCTAAGTGATTGTATTCCTTGTTCATATCTTGGTATTTTGGACAAACTTTTGGGTCTTTAGAAATGGGGTGCCTAAATCTCCACAGAATTCCAAGACATTCTATTACTTTAAAAAAAAAAGTAAGCTTAAGTCTTCCTATCAGCCTCAGTTGTAATACTACTGTTGTTATTATTGCTATCATAATTATTTATGATACTGTAATGATTATGAGGAATTATAAATCTCATTCTGGGAGCTGAAATACACCCTGACAAAGTTAG